AAGGTCAGATGGGGAGGGGGCAGGGATCAGGGGTAAAGGTCAGATGGGGAGGGGGCAGGGGTCAGGGGTAAAGGTCAGATGGGGAGGGGGTAGGGCTCAGGGGTAAAGGTCAGGTGGGGAGGGGGTAGGGGTAAAGATCAGATGGGGAGCGGGTAGGGGTCAGGGGTAAAGGTCAGGTGGGGAGAGGGCAGGGTGTTCAGGGGAGGCTGAGTCAATGGGGAGGCGGAGTTCTGGGGAGGAGAGGTTACGGCCAGGTATGGGTAGGAAGTCTGAATAGTTTGGTGGGTTCTGGGAGGTGACCTCTGGGGTGGCATCAGGGTGGACTTTGCCACAGTGTCCCCTTGGTGGGTTGCCTGCTATCCCCTGTGCCTCAGTCGTGGGCTGACAGCAGATGCCAGTAGCTGGGTGTGGGCTGGCCATTCAGAGCTGCCTACAGATCCAGGGCTGGCCTCTGTCAGGCTGCTGGGCAGTGGCCAAGGCCTTGGAGAAGTCTGTCCTCTCGCTGCCCCTTCCACTGAGGCCTGGGTGTGGTTAGGCGCTAATGATAGATAGCCCTGATACCCTGGGAGTGGAGAGCCATGGGACCCAATGAGTTCAGGTGGCCTAGGGGACAGCGGCAGAGGCTTGGGAGGGGGTGCCCAGTGAGCTGGAGACCCCCACGCACACTGCTCTTCTCCGAACAGATGAGGAAACTGAGGCCCAGCGAGGTAAGGCGCTGGCTTGCTGGAGGTCACCCTGTAAGCCAGGCACTAAGGCGCCTTTCACACGGGGCCATTGCCTCTTGGAGCAGCCCAGGCTCCCGCTGCAGAGTCCCAGCCCCTGGGTGGAGGCTGTGGGCCGAGGACCCAGGCCCAGCACGTCCAGGCCTCGCCAGCTCCGCCTGCCGCTGCTGAGACTGTCATCTTCAGCTGTTGTGAGGCAGCCGGCAGCTCTGGGAAGGGTGGCCAGTCTTCCTGCCTCTTGGGATGTGGGGGGACTGCGGCTGGCCGGACAGCAGGTGCCCTCCCCAGGGCTGGGCTGCTGGGGGCTTCCCGGCTCAGGCCTGCTCTTCATGTCCCTGTGACACAGCGCGGCCTCGGCCTGCTGGCTGTGCAGGCTGATACAGCCGGGAGTGGGTGCCGAGGCCATGAGGGCAGAGGCCAGCTCCCCGAGGACCCGGAGCAGCTGGCGAGAGGGCCTGAGACTAATGAGACATGATGGAATGGGGTGGCGGGACGGCACCTCTGGGGAGACCTAGGCAGACCCGGCCCGGAGCGGCCCAAGGACGTTCTGCGGGCATGGGGGCCGTGTGGCGATGCGTGTGACGGGGCTGGGGGGTCTGGTTGACATCTAGGACAAGGTAAGGACACAGCGCCGTGCACTGACAGCCTGCAGAGCTGGACTGAGGCAGGCAAGTGCCCCTCGCTGCCCAGACCACACTGGTGACACAGTGTGGGAGGGACCTGGACAGCAAGCTGGAGCCGGGGTGGGTCGGACTGGATGCTGCAGCCTAGCAGAGCAGCTGGAGGATGTGGGCTGTTTAGCTCAGATGAGGGCAGAGATAACGGACTAGCGGTGTGGGAAGGGCTGTGTGGGGATGTGGGTCTCTTTCCCAGTGACTTCGGACAGCAGGCTGAGACCAAGGAAAAGGTACATGGAGGTTTTAATAGAAGACGTTTCTAACAATCAGACTGTGCAGGAAGGGAGTGAGTAGCCTCAGGCAGGTACCAAGCACCCCATGGCTGGAAGCATGCAAGTGTGGGAAATCATCCCTGCCATTAGCTCAGGCTGGCCCGGGGGCCTGGCACTGTGACCTTGGGCAGATTGCTCCACCTCTCTGAGCCTCAGTTTCCTCGTCTGGAAAATGGGCAGCATAAGGGGGCTGTGAAGCTGTGTATTGCACATCACCAGCACCCTATCTGGGTGGGGCTCCCCCCGCTGGCCACCAGCGTCTTGACCCTGGGATCTGTTCCAAGTGCTCTCCTTGGTCTCCATCCCTGAGCTGGCATTCCCACACCTTGTGCCCAGCCCTCGCCCAGAGTTACATGGGACAGCAGGATAAATCTTGCTTTGTTTCTCTGCTGGAGGTGGAATAAAGGGGGAGGGGCATGGTGATAAAGAACCGAGTGAGCAGAGCCAGGGGTGAGAGATGAGGGAGTTAGCTCAGATCTGGTGTCAGAGACAGCAGGAGTGGGAAATAGTTGTCATGAGCCTGAATGAAGCAAGGTAGTGAGGACACTGGGGGAGAACATTCCAGGCAGAGTGCATGGCATGTGCAAAGGGCCTGGGGTGAGCACAGCTGGCCTGGAATAAGTGCTTCCTGATTGATAGAGTCGTCAGTCTGTGGAAGCTTGTGAACAGTTGCTGCTCACACTTTCTTCTGACAGGAAGGAGCACCTCCCCACAACCACGGCAAGTGCTTGTGCCGTTGCTGCCAGGGGGTCCAACCCTTCAGAGGATGCAGAGGGAGGAGAGAGCCTCAGTTTTCTCATCTGTCAAATGAGCCCAAAAGCACCAGCCATGCAAGACTGACATATGACTCAAGGAACATAAAATATCAGGCACCAATGATCCAGTGGGAAAGGCACCCCTGTGATTATTTCCCAGGTGATGAGACTGAGGCCCAGAGAGGTGAACTAATGCAACCGTGTCACACAGCTTAGCGTTCAAACCTAGGATCTTTCGCCTCCTGTATCAGTGCTTTCCTTCCTTCTCTGCCCTGCAGCTGGAAATCAGTATACCTGAAATCCAGATTGTTAGTGTACCAAGCAGTAGTTCGAAAGGGGAAGCCATCACACCCCATTTGACAGATGAGAAACTGAGGCCCAGGGCAGCGGCCCAAGGAACCTTCATAAAGTGGGGGCTGGGACAAGACCCAGTGCCCAGTACCTAGGCCTGAGTCTACACGAGAGGCAGGCAGGCTTTGTCCTCGAGGGCAGAGTGCCGGCAGCCACTCTCAGCCCCAGTACCTGGTGCTATGCTTCCGCCTGCCCAAAACTTCTGGCTGGGCCCCAGGACTCCTCAGTCCTCCTAATCCTGGGTAATGGCATTGACACGGGCAGTGACGATGACACCGCCAGGAGCCTTGGGCGGCCTGGCCAGGGAGGGGCCCGTGCTGGGGCTTTTCAGCTGCTGCAAATGGGATTTCCCAGTCTGGCCTCTTGGTGCTGCTCCTGGCAGCCCAGAACCCAGGCCATAAGCCCATTGCTGTCCCCGCAGGAGCCGGATCCCGAGGCGGCGCATGCATGGGGCCTCCTGCCTTGCACACAGCATGCCTCCACCCTGTCCTGGGGTTTCCTGGGAGCGCTGAGTGACACTTACCTTGCCACAGAGGAGAGAAACTGAGGCCCAGACAGGACCCGGGACACCCCCACCCCCAGGTCTCGGAGCTGGTCAGCACCACATCCGCCTCCCTCACCCATGGCTCCATCTGCCCGCAGCCAGGCCCGACACACACGGCCCGCCTTGCTCTGTGCATCCCCCTGGCCGGACCAGGCGGGGCAGGGGTGACTGAGCCCCAGGGCACTCGCCACCTGAGCCTGCAGTGGGAAACCGGAGGTTGTGACCCAGAGTCTCCTCCCAGGGGCCCCGAATCTTGGATGCTGAGGGTTGGGAAGGTTAAAGGCGCACTAACCGCACAGCTGCTGCCCCCACACAGCCACACTGCGGGAGGGGCGGGTATTCGCTTCTCTGGTGAGGGGAGGGGGGTCATGGCCGGTGTCCCGGGGTTAGTTGGGGAGCCCTTGTCAGGGCACAGTAAGGTCCCAGAGCGGACTCAGAGTTGGCAGATCAGGATCTGTCCCTGCCACCCCGGCTCCTGCGGCTGCACTGTTCCCAGCATGATGTGGGACCCTGACCGTGTCCCTTCCTCTGTCCTGGCCTCAGTTTCCGCTCTGAGAGGCTGGGGTTGGGCAGAGCCGTGGCTCTCAGCTTTCCAGCCTGGAGCCTTTGGTATTCCGAGTCCAGAGGGGCCAAATCGCACCTGGGGGGTAGACACACCCTCAAGTGGGTCACCTGCCAAGGAGGGAGCATTTGCCCAGTGGCTCATTGGTCCTGGCCTTCAAGTGTTTGTGCCTGTCGGTCTCCCTGGATCTTTTCCCTCCCCTCTGTCCGAGGATGTCCCCACCAGAGGGGACATCACCCAGCCTGGAGCTGGCCAGCCTGGCAGCCGGAGCGCTGGGCTCTGCCAAATCTGGCGGGTCGGGGACGCGCCACCTGCCAGCCACCGGCTTCCCGTCCCCTGCATGGCCTCGCGCTCCCAGGCCCCTGGGTGTGATGGCTTTGCAGCAGCTGCTTCCCGCCGCTTCCCCTCCCGCTGGCTGGTCACAGCCGTGTTCGAGGCTCAGCCAGGCCCACTGTCATCTGTCTCGCTGCCCCTTGGGGTTGGGCAGTGGGTTCCTGGTTCCCCTCCTTTGCCCCCGTATCTGTCATCTTGCTGTAGCCATTCCTCTGCCTCAGACGCTCTCCATTTCTCTCTCCCTCTCTCTTCCTTCGTTTCTCTGCTCTGTCCCCGGCCCTCTGCAGCCCCCAGGTGTGCTCAGGCTGTGGCTGGGCTCCCGCTCAGCGTGTGTGTTAGGACGGCCTCGTGGGAGCAGGGAAGGGTATGACCTTGCCTGTTTGACCCCAGCCCCTCGCCTCAGCCTGGTTTGACCCATGCTGCACCCCCTCCCCACACACCTGCCCCTTGAGTGGGTGAGCAGCTGGGCCAGGGGCCAAGTGCTGCTGTCTGCGCCTTTTTGGCCTCCTGGTACCCTCCCTGGCTGCGTCAAGCCTCGGCGGGTGGTGGGCAGGCAGCCCAGGGACGGGGACAGGGTGGCTGACGCACACGGGACAGGGACGGGAGCCTCCCCCCTCTATGTGAGTCACAGGGCATGTGGGAGCTGGGCCCTGGCCCAAGCCATCCTGGGGAGCAGAAGAGAGGCCACCAGCAGGGTCACCTTGAGGGCGAGGAACAGAGCTCAGTATCTGGACTGGGGGGAGCCCACGATCTCTGCCTGCCCTAGTGGAGGGGATGGGAGAGGTGGGCTGGGACCTCAGCAGACAGCCAGGCCTGGCTACCATGATGTTGGCTGGAGCAGCGCAGTAGTGAGGAGAGAGGGTGAGCGGGGAGCTGGGTGTGGCCAAGTGGCGCGTGTGCACACAGACCTGGCGGGTCGGCAAGTAGGTGCTCGCCTCTGTTCCCAAGAGGCTGCTGACCTCACACCTTTGTGTCCTCCACACCCCCGCACGTGCTCCGGCGGCTGACCACACGTGCACACATCCTGTGCACACACACACGCCTGCTCCCATGCCTGCCTGCGCGCTGTCTCCTCGCTCACATCAGCGTACCCTTGCATCCCGCTCCGAGCCAGCCGCACACCTGCGCGAGCACCTGCATACAAATGCCATCCCGACTTTCCCAGGTGGAGGAGGGGCGGACCTAGGGCTCCTGGATCCCACAGCTGTGAGCCTGGGGACTCAGCTTCCTCCAGTGAGCTTGGTTGCCTTGGCAGGGGAAACTGAGGCCCAGACAGGGTGAGGACTGACCCCGTGAGCTACGCTATCTGGAGCCAAAGTCTGTCCAGCCTCGAAAGCTTTGTGTGGCCTGGCCAAAGACAGCGAGTGTCTGCCACCTCATGACAGCCCAAGTGGGCCCTGCAGGGGATGGGAGGTGTGAGGCCAGCCTCGGAGGTCCCCATCGTTCTAGCCTCAGACCTGGCACCGGTCTTTGACCCACTGAGCCATCTGGACACCCTGTTGCCCGCCACCTTCCCAGCCAGCACTGCCCAAGCTGACTTTGGATTCCTCCCCACACTGTCCACCCTCTGGGGCTCGTGCTGTAAATTGGTTTTGCTTTAGCAGCATAGGTCTAACATTTTTTTCTAAGCACACTCCCTCCTGGAGTTTCCTGGGGGGAGGAGCGGAAGGTGGAGGTGGGTCCAGTGTAGAGCCTTTGGGCTTCCTTGTCCACACATGGATTTCTCTGGCCTTACCCTCACCTCCTGGGACCCCTGCGGGCAGCGAGCAGGAACTGGGCTTATTGTGTCCTGGGAGTTGAGGCTGGGGCTGGGCCTGGCCAATGGGGTGTGTCTAGTTTGCTAGGGCCCCTGCTCATGCGTCCTCTGAGCCTGGGACTCAGTTCCCCCACTTGGGAAGTGAGGGTTGGCTCAGGGAGTCTGTGATCTGTGATCCTTGTGCCACCCCCCTATACTCTGGAGATGGACAGCATGAATCACCTTGCTTCTTCCCACACCGACTGGGCCGGGGAGGGACCTGGGCCCTGCTCTGTGGGTTGGGAAACACTGAGAGATGGTGTGATCCGCCTGGCTAGTCAGGCTGGGTAGACAGGGCCCTAGGTCTCCTGGCTCCTGGCTTGGGCACACCGTGCCTGGGAGCCTTGATCCAGGCCCAGGCGGTGCTGTGTTCCTTGGGGCAAATCCTTGCCCTCTCTGAGCCTCCGGCTCTCCAGCTGTGGAAGGGGATGTAGGGGTTTGGCTGTGCTGTTTCAGAGGTCTGCAGCTCCCTTTTTGGATCAGGGGCCCCTTCTGGAAAGTACTCCTGGGGTGATGACCTTGGGGAGTATCTCTGGGTCCCCTGACTTTTACCCTCCTCCGCTTGGCTCCACTTGGCCTGTGGAATGAGCTTTTCCCCCACCGCCCCCTGCAGAGACCCCAGCCTCTGCACCCCCCTGTGAGGGGGCCCAGCCACCACTCTCTACTCCCCTCCCCCATGGAGGCTGAGACAAGGGAATTATTTTTGGAACAAGAGCAGTTACACAACAAATGAATTATTTATCTTTGGGCATGGAGAAAGGAAGCATTTTGCTGGGCTTCTTAATTCTTTTTCTGGATTTGGGGTGCCCACCTGGGTATGTGGACCTGTGCATGTGGTCTGTCTATCATGTACACAGATGGTAGGTGTGTGTGTGTTCCAGGCTGTGTCCATGTGTGTGTGCCAGGGTGCGCTGGCTCGTGGGGGCACGTGGTCTTTGTGCAGGGAGGCAGGTGAGTGTGGACACTAGTGTGCTGGGTGTGTGTGTATGTGTGTGTGGGTGCACCTGACCTCCTCTCTCGGCTCCTGTCTATGTCCTTGGTCCTCAGGATGCCACTAACCTCTATCTCCTTCCCTCCCCCTCTTGCCACCCACCTGCCCTTCCTTCCTTTGTGTAGCAGGGACCCTGGGGTTCTCGATGGCATGGAGGCCCCCAGGCGGGGATCTGGAGAGGGACTGGGCCCCGCGCTGGAGCTCGAATGGGCTGGTCTGGGTCCTTGCACTGATCAGTCACCCCCTCGGTGCTGCCTTTCAGGAACCAGGTGACAGATGGGTCTCTTCCTTCCTGCCCCCGTCTCTCTGCTCTTCCCCAGAGCTGCACCCTGCTCTCCAGTGGGAACTGTCTGAAGCTTTGAGCCCAGAACCGGAGGAGAAGGAGGAGGAGGAAGAGGAGGAGGAAGAGGGAGAGGAAGTCCTGGCCTGAGACCCTGTGCACCTTCCCAGCAGGAGTTGAGGAGCACCTCGGGGAGCCGACCTTGGGTCCCCACACCTCAGCCAGGCCTGGTGCCCACTTGTAGCCTCCTGGAAAGCCCCCAGCAGTTGGCACTAGTGGTGCCCATCTTGCCTGGGATCCCCGTGCCGGGGGTCGCCCCCAAGATGGTGGCGGCCCCAGGGAGGACTGTGCCGCCAGCAGCAGCCTCCGGCCTCTAGGTCCCCGTGCTCCAACCCCTCACCCCCTGCCCGGCCACCAGGGGGCCGAGGCCAGCACCATGCTGCGCCTGGGGCTGTGCGCCGCCGCGCTGCTGTGTGTGTGCCGGCCGGGCGCAGTGCGTGCGGACTGCTGGCTCATCGAGGGGGACAAGGGCTACGTGTGGCTGGCCATCTGCAGCCAGAACCAGCCCCCTTACGAGACCATCCCGCAGCACATCAACAGCACCGTGCATGACCTGCGGCTGAACGAGAACAAGCTCAAGGCCGTGCTCTACTCCTCGCTCAACCGCTTCGGGAACCTCACAGACCTCAACCTCACCAAGAACGAGATTTCCTACATCGAGGATGGCGCCTTCCTGGGCCAGTCGAGCCTGCAGGTCCTGCAGCTGGGCTACAACCGGCTGAGCAATCTGACGGAGGGCATGCTGCGCGGCATGAGCCGCCTGCAGTTCCTCTTCGTGCAGCACAACCTCATCGAGGTGGTCACCCCCACCGCCTTCTCCGAGTGCCCGAGCCTCATCAGCATCGACCTGTCCTCCAACCGCCTCAGCCGCCTGGACGGCGCCACCTTCGCCAGCCTGGCCAGCCTGATGGTGTGCGAGCTGGCCGGCAACCCCTTCAACTGCGAGTGTGACCTCTTCGGCTTCCTCGCCTGGCTCGTGATCTTCAACAATGTCACGAAGAACTACGACCGCCTGCAGTGCGAGTCTCCGCGGGAGTTCGCCGGCTACCCGCTGCTGGTGCCCCGGCCCTACCACAGCCTCAACGCCATCACCGTCCTGCAGGCCAAATGCCGCAACGGCTCGCTGCCTGCCCGGCCTGCGAGCCACCCTCCGCCCTACTCCACCGACGCCCAGCGGGAACCCGACGAGAACTCGGGCTTCAACCCCGATGAGATCCTTTCCGTGGAGCCGCCAGCCTCGTCCACCACGGATGCGTCTGCAGGGCCTGCCATCAAGCTGCACCACGTGACCTTCACCTCGGCCACCCTCGTGGTCATCATCCCCCACCCCTACAGCAAGATGTATGTCCTGGTCCAGTATAATAACAGCTACTTCTCTGATGTCATGACGCTCAAGAACAAGAAGGAGATTGTGACGCTGGACAAGCTGCGGGCACACACCGAGTACACCTTCTGCGTGACCTCGCTGCGCAACAGCCGCCGGTTCAACCACACCTGCCTGACCTTCACCACGCGGGACCCCGTGCCCGGTGACCTGGCGCCCAGCACCTCCACCACCACGCACTACATCATGACCATCCTGGGCTGCCTCTTCGGCATGGTCATCGTGCTGGGTGCCGTCTACTACTGCCTACGCAAGCGCCGCATGCAAGAGGAGAAGCAGAAGTCTGTCAACGTCAAGAAGACCATCCTGGAGATGCGCTATGGCGCCGATGTGGACGCTGGCTCCATCGTCCACGCCGCCCAGAAGCTGGGTGAGCCCCCTGTGTTGCCTGTGGCCCGCATGTCCTCCATCCCGTCCATGATTGGGGAGAAGCTGCCCGCCTCCAAGGGGCTGGAGGCCGGGCTGGAGACGCCCAAGGTGGCCACCAAAGGCAACTATATTGAGGTACGCACGGGTGCTGGGGGGGATGGACTGGCTCGGCCCGAGGATGACCTCCCAGACCTTGAGAACGGCCAGGGCTCTGCTGCTGAGATCTCCACCATCGCCAAGGAGGTCGACAAGGTGAATCAGATCATTAACAACTGCATCGATGCCCTCAAACTGGACTCGGCCTCTTTCCTGGGGGGCAGCAGTGGCGGTGGGGACCCTGAGCTGGCCTTCGAGTGCCAGTCCCTCCCTGCGGCCACTGCCACCTCCACAGCGGCCGCCCCTGGGGCGTTGGAGCGGCCCAGTTTCCTCTCCCCCCCCTATAAGGAGAGCTCCCACCACCCGCTGCAGCGCCAGCTCAGCGCCGACGCCGCTGTCACCCGCAAGACCTGCAGCGTGTCATCCAGCGGCTCCATCAAGAGCGCCAAGGTCTTCAGCCTGGACGTGCCTGATCACCCGGCCACCGCGGGGCTGGCCAAGGGCGACTCCAAGTACATCGAGAAGGGCAGCCCTCTCAACAGCCCCCTGGACCGGCTCCCGCTGGTGCCCTCGGGCAGCAGTGGGGGCAGCGGCGGGGGTGGGGGCATCCACCACCTGGAGGTGAAGCCGGCCTATCACTGCAGCGAGCACCGCCATAGCTTCCCCGCGCTCTACTACGAGGAGGGCGCCGACAGCCTCAGCCAGCGCGTGTCCTTCCTCAAGCCGCTGACCCGCTCCAAGCGAGACTCCACCTACTCGCAGCTCTCCCCCAGACACTACTACTCAGGGTACTCCTCCAGCCCCGAGTACTCCTCTGAGAGCACGCACAAGATCTGGGAGCGCTTCCGGCCCTACAAGAAGCACCACCGCGAGGAGGTGTACATGGCCGCTGGCCACGCTCTGCGCAAGAAGGTCCAGTTCGCCAAGGATGAGGACCTGCATGACATCCTCGATTACTGGAAGGGGGTCTCGGCCCAGCAGAAGCTGTGACCCTCTCCTCCCTGGTGAGGCTGGAGGGGGAGGGCCGGGGCGCTCGGGAAGGGCCCCGGGTGGCCGGGCCGGGCAGCGCACTGAGGGCCGGGGCCTCGGCGTGGACGCACACGCACACCCGCACGCACGCACCACGCACACACACCTGACCACCACCTGACTGTGAACCAACCAACACCCGACAATAACGGACAGGAAAACAAAGACACATTTTCCTTAAAGTTTACAAACTGATACCGAAACCAGGCGTCTTTACTGTGCTGCCCAGGGACTCTGCCAGGGTGTGTGGGGCTGGGGACAGGGACAGGCGCCGAGGAAGCCAGGAGGAGGGTGTGGGGCTGGGGGAGCTGGGACTAAGGACAGGATTAGGGCAAAGGAGGCTGAGGTAGAGATGGACTGAACCCCCCAGGACGGGGACCAGGTCAGTTGGAGATTGGACACCAGACGGACACTGAGAGTTATTTTCTTCCTCTTTGGGTGGCCCAGGGAAAGGAAGTGGTAACCCCTTGGGTCACACAGCAGGTTAGCCTCAGTCTCCCACCTTTCCAGCCTAGTGCTGCCCCTGCCCGGCTGCCCCCCTGGGCCCCCGGCTGGTCCACTCATCACCCCATCCAAAGCTGAGGTCTATTGGGGCTGAGGGATTCGAGAATCAGGCAGGTGCTTTTCCTCCCTAGAAAGCCCACGGAAGTGCCCTTGGGGTCTGGAGCTGCAGCTCATAACTCTAGTGGGGGGGTCCCCGCTGGTAGGAAGGGAGCAGAGGCAAGGGGACAGGCCACCAAACTCCTTCAAGTGTCTTCCAAGTAGCTCGGGAGCTGCCTGGGGGTGGGTGGGGGCACACCAGCTCCCATGGCGTCTCAGGTGCAGGCCGCGTGCCCCAGGCCCCCAGCTTCTCTGGGCCTCGGGGGACCCCTACCCACCCAGAGGGGCGACAGTGAACTGTGAGGCCGGAGGGCAGCAGGGAGGTGGCGTGGAATGGCCTGGGGCTTCCTGCCTGTGCCCTGTATCCTGCCCCTGACTGACACCCACTGCAGGGTCTCTGGGCAGGTCTCAGCTTGCTCATAGGAGGGAGGGCACCCGACACCCTATCCTTGTCTCACCTCCTGGCCAGAGGGGCTCCCATGTTCCCATGGAAGTGGCCACCCCCCTCTCCGACCCCCACCCAACATCGAACAAAGCACAAACAGTGAGGTCCCCCCACTGCCCTGGGGTAGGGGGGAAGCAGGCTGGGTTTGCAGGCCCCTCCCCCTCCCTAGCTAGCCCATCACCATGGCAACCCGGTGCCTGGCAGTTGGTGCCCAGAGCCACCAACCGTTGGGCTCTGGGGTTCTCTCAGTGTGGGCGGCACTGGAGGGCGGTGAGGGAGGGCAGGGCTGGGCGGTGGCTGCCTTTTTCGAGAGCCGGGGGGTTTCCGGGGACAAGTTCTTCGGAGGAGCACTTTTGGGGTCTTGAGACCTGAGGCGCTGAGCGTCAGCGGCCGAGGGACTGTGATGCGGTCCCTCCCCCTGCGTGGGGCCGACTCTACCGGGCGGCTGTGCCTGCCTGCCGATGTGCCCTGACTCCCCACCCGCCTCAGGATGTGGGAGCCTCTCTGCTCTCCCACGTCTCTGCCAGGGCTCCCCAGCAACTGGCCTGTGGCCCTCTTGAGCTTCTCCAGACAATAGGACTGAGATTGTGGGGTGAGGGTAGACCCTGGGATGGGACTGAGACCTGTACTGTGGGCGGGGGGGGGCTCTGACCAGGAAAGCTAGTGCCATCCCTTGGGGGGCCGCCAACCTCCAGATGCTTGGGGGGCTGCAGGGGGCTGGGGGTTGACTGAACACCTTGGTCACATCAGCTTGGGGGCGGGCTGAGCCCAGGGCTCACTCTGGGGGTGACACTGGCAAAGAAAAGACTGTTTTCCTGGGGAGCAGAGGGGTCAGGCTGGCATGGATGTACAGGGCAGACCTCCCCCGACCCTAGACCTGCCCCTGACTCCTCCTCACACCCAGTTGGCAAAACGGAGAAGAGCAGGCTGGGAAGCGAGCGGCGTGAGAAGCAGACTCCCTGTTATATTTGCATGACGATTTTACTGTATTTTTCTGAGCAAACATCTGTCGTGTATGTGCCAGTCTGTCCAGTTCCCCACCTCCCGCCCAGACTCCCCCTGTTGTGATCTGAGCAGCTCTTGAAACCCAGGGAGGGGCCAGCTCTGCGAAAGACCCAAAACAGGTGCCGCCAAAACACAGCCCTGACCCCCACCCAGCTCCTCCTGTCTTTCTGGGCATCGGGCCCGCAAGTGCCACCTCCCCGCTCCCTTCGTCTCTCCATGGCCACCTCTTCTGTCCCCCGTGTCCCTCATCCTTTGTCACCCCTTTCCTCCTTCACACCAGGGAGGGTAGCCCCGTCTCCAAATGGAGGGGATGTTCACCGTCCCTCCTGTCTGCTCCAGTTGTTCCCATTTTGTAAGTGAGGAGATGACTTGGCAGGCCGGGATGACGGGGCCAGCCACACTGCTGGAGACAGGAGGCCGAAAGCTTGGGGCCTCGTGGACAGCGGGGGGAGGGGCTGAAGGAGGGGCGCCGGGAGGACGGGGAGCTGCCAGTGGCCTGGCCTCACCCCAGGAAGGTTCCCAGCAGCAGGTTGGGTGCTGTCCCTACCCTTCTGCCATCAGTCCTTCTTGAAGACCTATAAGCTCCCAGGCCAGCTCGTTTTAGGGGATTTTAAAAATTAGCCCCCCACCTCAGTAGAGGGACCCAACCCTCTGGGAGACCAAGCAGCCTAGAATAATCGGATCACACTATTCTCTGTGAGACAGAGCAGGGCTCTAGACGCAGGCCTCTGCCCCCCACCTCAGAGCCAGGCCAGACCCCCAGCTGGCCAGGCCAGGCCTCTTTGGGAAGACCTCCTGCATCTGTGTCCTTCTGGGGATGATTTCTCCCCCAAGTGGAAGTGAAAGACAAAAGACAAAAGAACATTTACCCGCAAGAGCTGTGTTTGTAAGGGCCATGGGGCCTGGCCTGGCCTGGGTAGGCTGCAAGCGTGGCACCTGGGGTGGAGGAGAAGGGGCCGGAGTGGACAGTTGGCAGGAGACAGCTGGGGTAGATGTGGGTGCTGCACCATGGACCCTGCCTGGGGCCCAAATGAGGCCACACCTGGGCTTACCCGGTCCTTCGCAGCCTGCTCCCAGGAGGTGGCACAGAGGTACCCAGTCTCTTCTGAGGGCACGGCAGGCATGCTGCCCCGCTGTTGGAGCTAACGGCCTTCCACAAGTGAAAAGCAGAGGTCTGGTGGGCAGGAAGCTTACGTTAGTGGACAGCTCCTCCTTCTGCAGGAAGGGCTCCTGTTCTCGGCACCAAGTGCCCTCAGCTTGGCCCCTTGCCCGAGGACAGGGCAGGAGGATAGCGGAGCCCCTGACTGAGGAGCGCTGGGGCTGAGGGGTGGCAGTGAGAAGACCTACTTCGGAAAGCCAGGCTTGGGTCACTCCAGAGGGACACCGGGGCACAGCTGGTAAGGCGTCTGGGGCTGGCCAGGGCACCCGATGTTGCCAAGTGGAAGTTGCTTGCGCCCCACTCTGGGATATTTAACAGAAGGGGAAGCAGGCACAGGAGCAGAATGAAAAGCTCCCAGCCCGGAGAAAACAGTGACTGCAAGAGGCAAGAAAGGGACAACAGGGACCGACGCCCTGCTTATAAGGGGCCTAAACAAAGTGAAGAGACAGAGAGTGGTGGGCACAGTGCAGGGAATACAAATGGGGGGAAGGGCTGGGGTTGTCCTTTGACCCTTGGAGGAAGTGCCAGGCAGCTGAGCTCCTCAAGACCCGAGGTGCTGGAGGAGCTGGCAGCTGTTGACAAAAATACCATAAGCAGTGATTATCTGGAGTGGCTGGCCGAGCATGCCCTCTGGTCACCGCCTCCAGGCCTGGCCTTTGCTGGGGTTCGGATGGGCCTCTGAAGCCTCCCCTGCCCAGTGCTGTCTGTCCTCTCTGGCAAGATGGCTGCTTCCCAGGGGCCCGTGCCCCAGGACAGGGACTTCCTTCCAGCTCGTGGTCCATTCTGACACGGCCCCTCCCTGACCTGCCGACCTGAGACAGAGTTGAGCGCCCCCCGCCCGCCTCCACGACCCCCTTAAAGGTCAGTCACTCCTGCCAAGCAGAAAGGAGAGGAAGAGGGGGTCCCGTGGGGCTGTCTGGGGAGGGTCTGGACCTCCTCTTCCATGCCCCTGCCCCTCTGCCAAGCACGCACAGGCTGGGGCAGGGGTTCGGGTCCAGCAGCGGTGGCCGTCCTCCCCTCTGTGTCCCCATCCCCCACCGGCGCCGCCAGCCCCCAAGTGCGCTGCGGCCTGGCACCTGCTTTGAACCCTGCAGAGCTGGGCTCGAGACCCTGAACTCTGAACCTGTGAACCCCAGCTGTGTACGGACACTCTCTCCCTCTGGGGGCCTTGATCCCTCTCCTTTTCTTCATTTATGGGGGGAACTTCATTTATTTTCTCCTCCCTACATCTGCCCTCCACCCCCATTTCCTGTTTTAAACTGAATGGCACGAAATTGTTTTCCTCAACTCGGAGATTCCTGTATGGAGAGAATCAATTTCTATATTTGCAATAAATTTCTTATTTAAAACAGCAGGGCCAAGGTTTCTGTGGAGTGTTGTCCCGCTGTGTGGATGCCCTCAGCGCCTGGTTCCTGGTGCCCCAGCGCCAAGCGATCATCTTCCCCTCGAGTTCTGCCCGTGGGATGAAGGGTGGGGCGGGTGGATGGGGTCAGCCCTGCCCTCGGTCAAAGGAGAATGAAGTGGATCTGCCAGACATATAGCGGCCAGCAGGGAATATAGGGCAGTTGTGTACCCCAGCACCCTGTGGGCCTGTCCCCAAAACCTGCTCTGCCATGGGCGCTGCTCGGCCATGTGGCCTCGCACTTCTTCCTGGGCTCCTTCCCCCTGGATGCAGACCCTGTAGACTGCTGTGTGGACATTGGTGGATGTCTTACAGACATCACAGGCCCTCAGCCCCTGCTCTGTGAAACCCCCTAGCCTCCTCCAGGCCTGGCCTGGGCACCTGACCCGGATATCCTGCCTGTGCCGTCCCTGGTACCCTCACTATCTGCTATCCTCCAAAGCTGCTGGTCACCCTTGCTCCCTTTAGAACCAAGAGATGCTGCTTGTCTCTGTGATCAGACCACAGAGCTGGGTCGCCATCCAGTGACCTCAGGTTGACCTGTCCAAACCTCTTCCCAGGGGGAGCCTGGAGCCATGGGTGCCCAGACTGGCCTCACCTTTCCAGGGGCGGAGCCTCCCACCCTCTTGCCTAACCCTCGTCATCCAGCTGCTCCATATGAGTGCTGCTCCAGGAGGTCCTGAGCCGGCCTGGGCTGCCATAGATAGGGCCGCTTTGAGTGTGCTCCCGGGGACAGAGTAGTCCCCGTGAGGGACGTCACAAGGTGGGCCTCAGAAGCTTCAAATCAGGCAGTCAGCTGGAGCTGTGGCCCTGGTGGCTCTAGAGCGGGCTCATGGCTTCTCAGACCCTTCCTGTATCAGAGTTAGAGGGTGGGGACCCCTTGGGACAGCCCTGGCCTGGGTCCCCTCACCTTCCCCTGCCTGATCCTGCACACTATCCTCACACAGCCCCCTAGGAAGCTTCCCTAGGGGGCTGCAGCTGGGCCTCTGTCTGTCTCTGTCCCCTGGCTCGTCCCCAAGTGCCTAGAACCTTCTTTCTGAGGGATATTCCAGTACAGACTTGTACGAGGCCAGGAAGAGGACAGAGGGGCACACTTGTATCTGTTTCCTCAGAACCAGGGCCACCACGGTCCCCAAGCCTGACTTGGCTCTGGGTACCCCACGGATTCCCTGCCTGGGACACATCGCCTCAGTTTCTCTTTGTTAGCATGGGTTTTTTCTCTTGAAGAGCTGGTTTTATCCTAAGGAAACAAGGTGTGACCCACGGTGTACATGAGCCTGGGTTGTCCAAATCCTCCTGGGGGGTGCATGGGGGGCTGCTGGGAATTTGACCATGTTCTCAAAGATGGCTTTGCTTTCCTGGGCAATTTAAGAATTTCTATTCGTTATCCTACACATGCAAAGATCCCTATCTTTTAATTTCAACACAAATGTTGTTCTGCTTATCATTCTAGTATCCTTAAGTATTTCTGAGGGTGGCTTTGGGCTACTGTGATCCTGTTTAAAATAATTGAGGAAATATCCTTAACCAGCCCAAACTTTATCCCTTAGTTTTATATCTCTGCCTTCCTAGTATATCCTTGAGCTATTTACAGAATGAGCCAAACTTGTTACCAAATAAATTCCCACCAACGCCCATGGAGACCGTGGGTTCTTGTCCTGTCCTGGTGGTCTCATCACAAGGAAAATGGCCTTCCTGAAATTCATGAATAACTCAAAGCTTAAGGAGGCTGTGCTTGTCTTAATAGGGTAAATATCACAAATGCCTAAAATGCCACCCCCAGATGTCTTAACCTAAAATATCAGTTATGCAAACATGACCTGCTGACCTTGCGCCCTCTTCTTTCTGAGGTGACTCTCATCACCCTGGAATGAGACATCTGTCTCCTAACTGGGCTCCCTCCACTCTGTGGACAGTTGTGGGTAAAATCTCCGGTGGCTGAGACCTCCTGAACCGGAAAGATTGGCAAGGACAGGGATCTATGCACTGTAGCCAGAGCCCCTCTTACCAGAGGAAAACCCTGTTTATACTTTCCTGGGGGTTTTCTAACTGGGCACATTGCAGGAGGCAGTCTCTTCTGTCCCCTCCAGAGTCTGGAGCCCCACCACTGCCTCCCACCCAGTTCTTTGCTGCCAGGACCGCTTCCTTCCTCTCCTGATGGCTGAATCGTCCTCTCACCCGGGAGGGCTCCGGCCACACAGGAGTTCCAGCTCCTGCTCCTGCATCTGTCAGGCTTTGTTGGAAGTACCAAGGTTAGGCTGGTGTCCCTGCTGGCTGCTTGGCCAGGAAGCTTCCTCCTCTATGTCACTGCTGAGCTCAAGTACCTGCCTGAGCAATGGCAAAGTTTTTCTCTTGTCAGTGCCCTCAAAGGGCTTTTAGGCATCCACAGTCCAGGTTGCTTCTCAAGGGTCTGGTTGCCAGCCCAGCCCTGGGCCTCAGATTGTCCCAGGTGACCCTGAGTGCCTCAGGCCTGCCTCCCCTGCTCCTGTCTGGGCAGTGCTCAGGGCTCTGTGGGGCCCCCAGGTTTCTTCCAGGTGTGGCCCGGTCACCTGTCCTGCGCATCCTCCTTGCCTGCCCTGGGGCTGTCCCTGGGGCTCTCCACCATCTGCTGCCCTCTCTCCACAGCTACTGACTACTCTCGCTCCCTTGAGAATTAAGAGGTGCCGCTTGTCTCTGTGATCAGGTCAGGGACTTAGGGCCAGCATCCTGTGACCTCAGACTGAACTGCCCAAACTTTGGCCCAGCTCTTGTTTTCCAAAAACAGCATCCACTGCCCTCGTCTCAGACCCCGTTCTCCAGCTCTTCCACATAAGCCCTGCTCTAGGAGGCCCTGGGCCAGCCTGGATAGTTACAGGCCTGCTCTGAGTGGACTCCGTGGGACAGAGCCAAGCCTCCGGGAGGGACGTCACGTGGTGGCACTCAGTAGCTTTAACCCAGCTGGAGCTGTGGCCCTGCTGGGGGCACCAGTGGGGGGCCCATGTCTTCCTGTTCGCTTCCTCCATTGGAGTTGAACAGTGGGTGGGGACGCCCGGGAGGGCCCTGGCCTGCGTCTCCTCACCCTTCCCCTGGATCACCCTAGCTGACTCATGTTTCCTCCAAGTGTCCTCACACAGTCTCCAAGGCAGGCGTCCCTAGGTTGCTTCAGTTGGGCCTTGGTCTGTGTCCAAGCAGCCACAGACATATTCCTGAGCCCCGTAGTCCCAGGGCTGCCTCTTGAGCCTGAACCGGGCCCTGCTCCAGGCACCCCCTTCGCTCCTTCCTTTCCCGGACTGACCCCGGGGGAACACTGCAATTTTCTCCTTCCGCCAAGGCCCTGACTAGCTCCTGCTATGGGATTTTCTTTACTGTCCTCATCGTCTCTGAGGTTAGGGAGGCCAGTTCCAAATCTGGGCTCTCTCTCGGGCCCCTTGTCCCTGTGCTCCGGATTGCAGGTCCCACTGTGGCGCTGCCCGCTATACCTGGCCCCTTCAGTGGGGGTCACAGGTGTGCTTCTATGAAGCCTCTTTCTGTGACCCTCCACCTGCAAGCAACGGAGCAGTGCCGCTGTGTCAGGGTGCAGGCTCTGGGGCCCCAGGGTTTCCCTCCAACCCCTGCGGCTGCCCCAGCCGCTCTGACCCCCACCTCTTGGGAAAGGGGGTTTTCTGCCTTCTCTATCACTCCTGCCTGAACCCCTGGCCCAACCTCCGGTGAACCCTGGGCTGGGTGCCCCTCTCCTCCTGAGGCCTGCAGCCCCAGCTGGCCAGCCACTGTCACCACCAGTCACTGTCTCCGCTCCTTGAAGCCAAGTCGGCCATAGCCTTTCTGCCTGCAAGCTGAAGTCCCCAGCCTGAAGGCTCCTTTCTGGCCCTCTAAAATGGTTCTCACAACTCTTGCTGAACTGAGCAAGTCCTCGTGTGGCTTCTGCATGCCTTAGCACCCTTCTTGTCCTCGACTTAGCTTTTTTTGACTCTTCTCGGGAGAGACACACCCAGACCTTGGGCTTCTGAAGGTGCCTGCCCAGGCCCCACATAACAAGCACCGCAAGCCTGTTTTACATTTTTGGGGAACAGCTGTGTCCCTGAGGTGATGCAGTTCATCAGGGAGCATTTTGGGAAGGACATCGGTCCATTTAACTCCCAAGTGTGGTCTGTCTAGAGAGCTCTGTCCAACCACCCTGTGGGCCGGGGTGCAAATGCCTAAGTCCCAGCAAGAGCTGAACACCATGCCCTGACCTGGAGGTCACCGTGAGTCCAGGGAGGCCGGGGCACGGGGCCTGTGACGAGCCCAGATCCCGGACTTAAGTGACAGTGTTTCAGGTCCTGTCGGACCCTGCGTGCTGACCCTTGCTGCTAAAATTTTGATTACTTCTAAGATAGGCAAATCCTTCATTTAAGATGAGAAAGAGGCCAGGTCATAGGAGGCATGACTTGAGGGTGGAGCCAGCCAGGAGGAGACAGGTGGCACTGGGTCAGCAGGGGCCCTGCCCTGGGCTGTGCACACAAGCAAGGGCCACACTGACCCTCCCCCAGCCCTAGCTGCTCCCCATGGGGACGAGGCAGTATGTGCCCGCCAGAGCTTCCCCGCTTCTAGACTGTTCTGTACGTACCTGGGACTTGGGATTGTGGTCCAGCTGATTCTAGATCTGGACCACAGCTTGTCCTCTCAGGGTGGCCTGTGTCACCCATGTGGGCACCTTCAGCATGAGATGGACAAAGGATCCCTGGGTGGGGGAAGGAGGCAGAGCCTGGAGGGTGGCTTAGGGGGTCCGTATGCAGGCACATGTCCCCAGTGTGCACAGGCCCCTGGTGTCTTTCGGAGAGGACTAATGGGGACGCAGCCCTAGGAGACGGTGGGTTCTGGCGCAGCCTCTGTAGTGACATTTTTCTCAGCGCATGGCCCAGCCCCCACAGGGCAGGCAGGGGACCACCATGGGCTCTCCAGGGTCCCTACAGTGCCTGCAGGAGCCAGGCACCCTTTGGGCTGGCCCCTGCTTTATCCTGCTCGCTTGGCCCAGAGCCTCCTGTCTCCACCTCTGGTGCTGCCCCCGCCCGCTCCAATCCCTGCACCCGCATTTTGGTCTAAGGACCTTACCAGCTTTAGGACCCGAGGGTAGATGTTTCCCCAATGACACCAATGAGCGTGGCCAGTCAGCTCCCTCAGCAACCCCTAGGAAATGTCTGGTCTCAGCTCTTTCCCCGGAGGACCCACTTGGGGACCACACTCCTCCTGTGTGGGGCCCTGCACCAGTGAGGTGTTAGCCACCAAGACTTCATGACAGTGCCCCGGAGGAGGCATCAGTCACATGACCCCTGCTCCAGTGTGTGAGCCAGGGAGTGAGGCTCCACAGGCCGATGAACACAGGCAAGGCCAGGGTCACCCTGGTCCCAGCCACTCATGCCCATCCCCCAGGCTGGCCGTCCCTGTGCCCCTGAACTGATAATGATGCCTCCCAGGCCAGGCCATGCCCCAAGGGCTGGGCTCCCCACCAGGATGACCCGGTAACAGGAGGACAGGGGCCAGGGATGCTCACCTGAACATGCTCACCTGTTTTTTCCTCTGTGAAATGGTGCCAGATACCTGCCGCGTACAATGAAGAAGAACTGGTAGCAGAGGCACACTCGCCCCTGGGCTGCCCCCCAGGCGTGGGAGCAGAGCCCACAGCTCTACCGGAGTGCCTCCGTGTCAGGGAGGGGCTTGATGCCATAAAGTGGGAGCCAGTGGCTCCCTGGCCAGGGAGGCCACAGAGAACTGCCCCCCGCCCAGGCACCTGGCCGTCCCCACGATGGCTGCTCGCTGGTCCTCTGCTTAGCAAGCACTCCAAGTGCTGAGGCTGCCACATCATCCAGATGTTGATGACTCTCCAGTATTTCTTGTCCCAGACTTCCCTGTGGCCCCCAGCTCTGACTTCCTGTATGACGGTCTCCACAGCCAGGCCAGCAGTCCAGGGCTTTCTGTCCCACATGTGCTGATGCCCCACATCTGGACGACTTCGCTTTGACCGTGTACCTCGAATCTGACTGACCTTCTCCAGGGATCCCCTTGCCCAGGTCCTCCTTCCCCCAGGGTCCAAGCCACAGCACCCTTCATGGGGTGGAAGCCTTTCACTGACTTCTAGACCCGGGCACTGTCCACGTCACAGCCTGAGGGCTGCGGTGACACGAGCCTTGGGACACCATCTGCCTCACCTCTGCCATGGGGCCGCACACCAGCTCTTGCTGCCCTCCCCGAGGGGGCTCACGTGGAACCTCCATTTCTCCCCGTGTGCCTTCACTGAGTGCTCATTCCGTGTGTGGCGCATCAGCCCCACCGACACGTCAGCAGCCTGTGTGCACATGTGTCTGCTGGCCCCATGCTCCTTACTAGCAGTTGGTTTTGGAACGACCACGAGACCCAGTTTTGACCAGGCAGGACATCTCTTGAGAGGCTTCAGGGCAGAAGGGAGAGCGCTCATCCTCTGAATGTCCTGGTTGCATTTCCCTGAGACACAGACACTCTTGGACTCTGCAGTGGAGAGACACCCAGAACCTCTCTGAGGACGGAAGCCCCACGTGGCCAAGTGGAAAGAGAACCAAGCTCACAGCTGGAGAAACGGTGGCAGCGAGGGTCGCCCTGGGCCAGACCTGCATTCTTTTGCCTGTTTGTGAGAGACAATGTCTCTGCCTAAACTTGCGGGAGTAGGGGTTTTGTGTTAGGACAGGGCCTTCATGGGGTCAAGAGACAGAAATTCTTAGGTTTGAGTCGATGACTTCTTGCCCACTAAGGGGAGAAGACAAGTCTCTTTCCCTATCCCCCTTTGCTAACAAGCAACTGCATCCTCCCCTCATATCCCTATGCCATTGCAAGCACTAGGGGTGCCGTGCCAGTAGGCGGGCTCCAGGATACCTTCAAGGGTATGAATGACGACTGATCCCCATCCTACAGGCAGGAAATCCCTTAAAACCTGAGAGAGAAATCTAAAAAAGCCGAACTCATGGGAAGTCACCACCCCTTTCCCACCCCAGTGAAGCCATAAAAACTAGTCCTGTTCTTTGGTAATGGGCCGATCTGATCATCAGCACGCCACTTCCGTTAGTTCTGGAAGCTGAATCCCCTTCCCTCTTTTCTCTCGCTTTCTAACTCTGCCTAATAAACATGCTTATGCCTCTCACTGATGTGTCCAGAAATTATTTTTCTATGATGGAGGTTGATGAACCTACCCCTTGGGGCAGCAAGTCAGGGACCTTGCTCAGATGCTATCCAGTAGCATGCCAATTTTGTGATTTCTGTCTCAATGATTCTCACTGCTGGGATGCAGTACCTACCGCCTGCAACTTAAAGGAAGAGAAGTTTATTTTGGTTCCTGGTTACAGTTCATGGTTGGCCAGCTCCAAGGCAGAAATGGTAAGGTGAAAAAGACTTGGTCAGATAAAGCTGCCCACTTCCAGGTTGTTGGGAAGCAGAGGAGACAGGGAGGAGCTGGAGAGGGAGATACACCCTTTGAGATCGTTCCCCCAGTGACCCACCTCTTCTGAGCAGACCCCACCTCCTAACAATACAATCAGCCAGAAAGCATTAGTGGGTTAATCCTCTGATGAATACAGTGCTCCCATGAACCAATTATATTCCCAACACATGAGGCTTTGGGGGGACTCCCCAGATTCCAACCTAACATTCCATCCCTGACCCTTCAAAGACTCACGTCCATCTCTTTGTGCAATGTTCATTTAGTCCATCTGTAAGAGTCACCAAAGTCTTAATGGAATTGCTAAAAAGTCCAAGTCCTCTGAGACTCAAGGCAAACTCTTGGCTGTGAACCCCTGTCAAAATAAAAATGAAAGTTAAACACTGCTGACATGCAGTGCCACAGGGTAAACATTCCCATTTAAAAACAATGAAATAGGGAGATAGAAGGAATGGGGCAAAATCAAGATCAAAACCCAGCAAGGCAAACACTAAGTCCTATAGTTCTGTGTCCAACACCTGGGGCAAGTTGTGGTGATGAGATGTGCGCTCCAAAGGACTTGGGTAACCTTGGCCCTGTGACATTGCTGGTTGCAGCCCTCATGACCTCTCTCTTGGGGTGGCTTTGTCACTCCCTATGGCTTTCCTCAGCAGACATTCCATGTTCCTGGTTTCTTCAACTTCCTGGGATGTCCATTGCACTTTCAGCCTTACTCTCAGCTTCATTCTCTGCCCTCTCAGACCTTCCTCACCTCTCAGACCTCCTGAAATTTAGGTGGAAGCTTTCCTAACCCCACAACTCTTGCATTCTTCACACCTGTTAAACCATCATGGATGATGCCAAGGTCTGTAGCCAGTCTGAGCAGTAGTTGGGGCATCTTGGATAATGGTTTGAGTAACCTCTCAGTGGCTGGATGGCTGAGAACCGTGCAATGAATCCCCCCAAATTCATTTCCCTAGGCAGCCCTTCTGCAGCAAGATGCCCTGGGGCTCTCTTCTCAAAGCAGTCTTCCATTTTTCCACTCTTGAGCTTGTGAACTGTTGGGTCTTCCTAGTTCCTGAGATGCCTTCAAGGCATTTCTCATTGTCCTGATGCAAAGTACTTAGCCTCTTAATGCTAATTTTTTCAGGAACCATGCTTTCAAAGGCCCCAGTTTTTCTGGTGTTCCCTTCCTGATGAAATTGTATACTTTTAAAATTATTTAACTCTGCCATTTGCTCCTGATTATCAATGGAGATCTTGCTAAAAGCAACAAGCAGTATCCAAGCTACAGTGTGAACACTGGGCTGCCTTGAAATTTCCTCTGCCAGTTTAACCAGTCTGTTGCCCTTAATCTTAGTCTCCCACAAAGTCTTAGGACATGGGCAAAATGATGACAAATTTTCTGCCAGAGCGTAGCACACATGGTCTTGAGTTCAACTGCCAATGGAGTCCTTGTTCACAGCCTTTACTGTCTGCACTGCTACAGATTCTGGTCTTCTGACCATAAACTTCCATCAAGCCCAGCTTACAGCATCGAGGGGCTTCACTAGCTGGCACTGTCACACCTTTCCAAACTCCAAAGTCCTCCCATACATGAGTTCCAAAGCCTTTTAAAACACATAGCCAGGGGGCTGGGGATTTAGTTCAGCGGCACAGTACCTACCTGGCAAGCACGAAGTTGTGAGTTTGATTCCCGGTACAAGAAAAATAAATAAATAAATAAAACAAAATAAAACACTTAGCCAGGTAGTCATAGCAATGATCCTACTTCTGACACCAAGATCTGTCTTAGTCACTTTCTCATCACTGGGGGGCGGCAGGAGGACATTACCCAACACGCACAATTTAGAGAAGGAGATTTTTATTTTGGCCCCTGGTTACATTTGGTGGGCCAGCTCCAAAGCAGGAACTGCATGATGGAAAAGTCTGGATGGAGAAAAGTTGTTCATGTCACGGTGTCCAGGAAATGGAGGGAGGAGGAAAGAGCCAGAAAGGAGATCTACTCTTCAAGGTCACACCCCAGGGACCTGCCTCTTCTAACTAGGCCTGCCTCCTAACAGTGCATTCAGGTATGATCTCATCAATGAACGAATCCACTGATGAATGCAACTCCTCCAGGATCCAATTACCTTCCAAACACATGAGGCTTCTGGGGGGACACTCCCGATCCAAACCATAAAAAGAGGACCTTGGACTCCATCCAGTAACATGCTGATTTTGTGATTTCCATGTGAATTGAGGAAAAGAACCGTTGGCTGACTGGCGACAGTACTTGCGGCCCTGTACAGATAATGCGCCATCTACATGTCAGACATATTTTGGACACTGTCATAGAGTTGAGGTTTTTGTCAGGTCGCGGAGTGACGGTGCTGTTTCTAGGGCTGACACCTGGGCTGTATTAATAGAAGTATAAAGTCCAGACCCAGGGGAGGAGGGATTCTGTGCCCTTTTGTGCCGTCCAGACCCCAGCTACAGAGGCCACGATCCATTCAGGGTGACTTTCCTGGAGCGAAGATGGGGCCACCAGCCGAGCAGCTTAGCGTTTAGAAGCCTTTATCTTTTGACAGTAAGACACCAAGTGAACTCTCCCGCCAGCACCAGTGACCCCTGGTGGAGGGGAGAGGGACACACGGGGCACCAGGCAGGAGCCCGGGCAGACCTGTGCGCCATGGGTGCTGCCTTCAAGTTTCCACACAGAAGGGGCTGGGGATTTAGCTCAGCGGCAAAGCGCCTGCCTGGCAAGTGCAAGGTCGTGAGTTCGGTTCCCGGTACCGGAGAAAAACAAAAAAAAAAAAAAAAAAAAAAAAAAAAAAACAAGTTTCCACACAGATCCTTAGAGCCAAGCACTGTTGTTACAGGTCAGTGTGAGAAGTCATGAATTCCCCATAAAACACATCCTGAAAAGCAACAAGAGAAGAGTAATAGATGCAATAGAAAGGGGAAAATAGGGGGCTGGGGATTTAGCTCAGCGGCAAAAGCGCCTGCCTGGCAAGCGCAAGGTCATGAGTTCGGTTCCCGGTACCGGAGAAAAAAAAAAAAAAAAAAAAAAAAAAAAAAAACCAAAAAAGAAAGGGGAAAATATATTGAAGAGATAAATATGTTCAAGAAATAAACATGGCCAAGAAACCTATATAAATAGACTTCTCCACTGTGGCAGAAACCATTCAGACTTTTTTTTTTTAATATCCACCTTCCCTTCTCCCACAGGAAATATCTTGATTTTTAGCTGGGCTAGTGGTCACTTAGACTAAAGATATTCCCAGCATCCCAGTATGTAGGTGGGAACCATATGCCCAAGTTCTGGTCAATGAGAAGTAGCAGATTCCAGAAACCTCCCGTAAAAGATAGCTATTAGGTGCTCTGTTTCCTTTCGCTCTTCTTTCTTCATGTGACTGGGAGACAAGACATGATGGCTCGAGCTCATGCAGCCACACTGGACTGTGAGGATGCAGGAACAGAAATCACATAGAGCAAAGAAACAAGAGAAGCCTGGCTGGCTACACCGTGGAGTAGACCTGCGGTGCCAGCTGTGGACTGCCATACTCCAAATTTTACTTTATCAGTGTATTTCTGGCTCAAGTCTTTGTTATTTGTACCTGTGCCTAATCCTAACTGATGAAATAGTAATAGTGAAATGCAAAATAAGACAAAATGAAGTATCACTTTTATCTCACAAGACTGGCAAAATTGTAAAGGTTATTATATCCTTTGAGGCAGCATGGCCCTGTGGCTAATGTCCCACCTGGACTAGACTCTTGCCCAGGACTTACCCACCATGGAAACTCAGATGATGTGTGTAACGTCTGTGCTTCAGTTTTCTTGCCTAAAAAGTGAGCGAAAATACAGCTCACAGAGTCGCTGAAGAACACAGAACAGTGCTGTTCAGAGTGTGTACTGTGTCTGTCTTACCATGAATACTCAGAACGGCCGGTTCTGGGGCACTGATGTGGGGTGGGGGTGGGGGTGGGGCTAAGGGATGGTCCCAATTTGGTCAGAAGAAATGTGACAGACTGGCAGGCTTGTGGAACCGCAGGGTGCTCTTTTAAAATGTTAAAACCATATACACAACTTCTGCCAATGGTTCCCTCTGGCCCAGCCACGCCACCCTTGGGGCCAGGTATAGTTCAGGCCCTAGGACAGTGACTTGGCGGGTGTCCTCAGTCCCCTGGTATAAGGGCGTGGTATGTCCCATGCGGAAGAACCCGTGGGATCTTCAACACACATCTGATCTCAGCTTCTCCCACCCGATGTGCGGCTGGGAAGTCCTGGGGATGAAGACCCGCTGGGGCCACCTGGGCAGTAGAGCCCAGGGGCAGGGAAGAGCCTGGCAGCCCCCAGCTTCTGGGGAGCCTAGAGGGCTGCTCTCTGTAGTGACCTCCACGATAGCCCTGCCTGGGCACCTTCCTGTCCCTCTGTCCCCAGTTCCTCCTGCCGCTTCCTGCCTTCTTCCAAAAAACCTGCCAGCACCCCAGTCCTGACTCCACCCTGCTCATGGGGAGCCCTGCCCAGCACAAGCCCGCAAGGGGCACACTCACCTTCCCTTGGGATAAACAACGACAATAGTCTCAGGCTGATGTGGGCCAGATTTGGTGCCAAGAGGGATGGAAAAGGGGACTGGGTCTGGGTGTCTGTCCTTCATGGCCACAGGAAAGGGCTACTGGACTGAGTGGTGTAAGGTGTGCCCTCTCTGTGGAGTCCAGTGTGTGTGACAAGGAGCTTCCCGG